TTTGTCCCCTGCCGTGGTTAGGTCGTGAGGGAGGCAGCCAGTCAATGTGGCTCTTTCACATTGATCTCTCTCTCTCTCTGAAGATAAATAGAAAAGTATCCTCAGGTGAGGAATAATAAATAAATAAATAAATAAATAAATAAAATAAATGGGTTTATTTTTGGATTAGAAGACATGTGGTGAGCATTTTCCTAAAGAATTGGCCAGAAAGCCTTGGGGAAGTGACACTTTGCTCATGATGCTAAGGCTATTTTTATGCAGGTGGTCATCTTGCACCTGTAGGGAAGAACCTGCCATTTTCACTGTTTGTAACTACATGGCTCCAAGTAGACTAATTGTATTCAAGTGAGAGAGTTATGAAAAATAAGTGAGTCCTCTTATCAAGAGCAGGATTTGAAGCATGGAGTTTTTAACACTTCTTCATATGCAGATAACATTTTATCTCAACTCAAAGCAAATACAGTAGGAGACTGTTCAGTAAATTCTGTCTGCCTTGTCCGGCACAGTAACCCATGGGATTTAGCATATGGACATAGGATAGTTGAAACCTGAGTCTGCAGGGAGGCAGTAAGACCATGAGAGGCAGTTGTCAGAGTATTTTGGGTGATAACATTTTATTACTTCAAATTCATCTCGCCCTGGCCAGTTTGGCTCAGCGGTTGGAGCGTCGGCCTGTGGACCAGAGAGTCCCGGGTTCGAGTCCCGCTGGGGGCACGTACAAAAAAAAACCCAAGTTTCATCTCACGGTCACCCCTTTCTTGATTGAATAATCACTGACTAATATTGGCTCAACTATACTTTGATGGAAGAGATTTTCTATAAAAGCTACTACCTGTTTTTTGATATAATAACCAAACATCCATTTGGGGGTTCTAAGACAAGGGCTCTAGCCATGGGCAGCTAAGAGGTTGAGAAGCAGAACCTGATATATGGGACTTACCTGAACTGTAGCCAAACGGGAATGATCACTGGTTACTGTAGATGGCAAGTTGGCTTTGGATAGAACCCAGAATAAATAATAAATCCCACAGTTTTCAGGAAAAGAGAATCTGCTGGAATTCTACAAGGTTCATGGAAAATAGTTGTAGTGGTAACAGCCCCTTTAGGCACTAGATTGGTTACTAGTTTTCAAAGGTACAATAGTCATACCATTAGCTATTCTGGAAAAACTAAGCAAAAGCTAAAGAAATACCCCAACCAACTATGACTTCCCTTCCAAATCTAGTCTGGAATCAGTCCCTTTATTTCTTATATTCTATCTCTTACCCTTTCCCTATATTGTTAGGAGAGTGCATTGGCTAGAATAAAGTCTGGGTGATCTGCAAATAGCCCTAGATTAAGTAGTGAACAATTATGCTACGTGGGAAAAAACTAGAATAGCCCCTTCTAGTCAATACTAGGATGATGCTAAGCCAGGGACTTGTGCTATTTTATGCCCCTCCCCCTTTTTTCTTTTCTTTATGGCTTATAAACAACAGCAATTTATTTCTCACATTTTTAGAGTCTGGAAGTGTGAGATCAGGATGCCAGCATGTTAGAGTTGTGGTGAACACCCCTTTCTGGGTTGCAGGCTGCCAACTTCAGTTGTATCCTCACATGGAGGAAGGGGAGAGCAAGTTCACTAGGGTCTCTTGCATTGAGCCAGAGACAGTGCTCAATTCCCTCTTTCTAATGCCAATCCCTGTGCACTTTTTCCTCCATCAGAGTTTTTTATCTTTCTGTCTTTGGAATAAGATGTGCTGGATGTGCAGCCAGTGTTAGAGGAAATAAGCCTCTAAGGGAAGGCGCGGAACAGGCAGCAACCTTCAGCATAGCGAGGCACAGAAGGCCCCTGCTATCAGGCAAGGCCTCCCGTTTCTTAGGGTCCCCCCAAAATGTTCATTTGAATGGGAGGAGAGTCTGCACATTTCCTTGGTAGGCTGATTAATCACATGACAATGCCATTTAGTCACCTTTATAACCCTTGCTTATATTCTGATCTTTTCTGACCTTAGTGTTTGCAGATTTTACCTTGTCAAGTGCTGTTTCTGTCCGTTGCCTAATATCTCCGAAACACCACAATTTCACATATACAGGGTGGGGCAAAAGTAGGTTTACAGTTGTATGTGAAACAGTTTATTCTTGTATTATTATTTATTATTGTATTTCCCATATTAACAACTCTAAACCTACTTTTGCTTCATTCTGTGTGTGTGTGCATTATATATATATATATATATGTGTATATATATATGTATATATAGAGAGAGAGAGAGAGAGAAAGAGAGAGAAAGAAAGAGAGAAAGATAGAGAGAGAGAAGAGAGAGAGGGAGAGAGAGAGAGAGGGAGAGAGAGAGAGAGAGAGAGAGAGAGAGAGAGAGAGGAGAAAAGAGAGCTGTATACTGCATCTGTGGTGTGATTTTCTAGGTACAAAGGTCCAAGAAACCTTAATTCTCAAGGCTGTGTTTCTGCTTGTTAGGAGCTGATGTCTGAAATTCCATTATCTACAGATGTCTGATTCTTGAATATGTGATAAAACAGATTACATTTATTTTATTTTTGTTCCTGCACAAGACCTAACAACAGTGCCTTGCCCATAGGGGATGCTCAACCAATATCTGTTGAACTAAACTTAAGCTTCAAAACCCTCATAAGAGAAAACATGACTTTTGTTCCACACGTAAGTCTAGATCAGCTCATACACCACAGTTTCTTTCTCCCAATCCATGGCGCATGGTATCAAACAATCCTGGTTTATATTTGCTAAGCCTAGTCCTTAGAGATTGCTAGTTGCCCATCAACATATATTCTTCCTTTCTTGCTTAATACGTGGCTGCCCAGCTAGACAATATTTCCCAGCCTCTTTTGCAATTATGTAGCCAGATGATTGTTATACCCAATGAAATATGAATGAAAGTGATTTGTGCCACTTCTGGGACTGGCTCTTAAGACGTTGGGTATGACTGCCTCTTCACTCTCTTACTCATTCCCATCAGTTACAACCTAGACATAATGGCTATCCACCTTCAACTCTACAGATGACCCTCATTCACTATGAGATGGAAGTACAATGACTTGAAAAGAAACCAAGTCTCTAAATAACTCTGAAACAGAGTTGCCCCTCTGTCCTGAAATTTTTACACTGAGACTGTCATATAAGCAAGAAATAATATTCCTTTAAGCCCAGCCGCTGCGGCTCCGTGGTTGAGCATCGACCCATGCACCAAGAGGTTGCTGGTTCGATTTATGGTCAGGGCACATGCTCAGGTTGTGGGCCTGGTCCCCAGTGGGGGGCATGCAGGAGGCAACCAATTGATATTCTTTCTCATTGATGTTTCTATCTCTCTCTCCCTCTCCCTTCCTCTCTCTCTAAGGAAAAAAAAATTTCTTTTAAGCCACTGAATTGTTGATTCTCATTCTTATAGTAAACCAATGTTCTTCCCATAACTAAAAACAACTGTATGCAGCCCTGTAATCTTTTACACAGCATTTCAGTTAGCTACTGGAATTGGTATGCAAGTTAAAATTTATTTACCATCCTAGCACTAAGGGATACATTACTGAGAGTAGATCCTATTTTGAAAGATTGTGAAGAAGCTGGAGAACAGAAGGCCTTCAGTCTCTGAGAAGAAAGGACAAATGTATTAAAGAGACTGGGGCAATAGAGATCAACCTAACCTTTAGAACCTTCCATTAAGTCTGTTGTATGGTTCACAGTAAAAGTGGGAAAGATGTGCTCAGAGAAATAGTGCCTTCAGAAGGCCTTCAGTCTCTGAGAAGAAAGGACAAACGTATTAAAGAGACTGGGGCAATACAGATCAACCTAACCTTTAGAACCTTCCATTAAGTCTGTTGTATGGTTCACAGTAAAAGTGGGAAAGATGTGCTCAGAGAAATAGTGCCTTCAGAAGGCCTTCAGTCTCTGAGAAGAAAGGACAAACGTATTAAAGAGACTGGGGCAATACAGATCAACCTAACCTTTAGAACCTTCCATTAAGTCTGTTGTATGGTTCACAGTAAAAGTGGGAAAGATATGCTCAGAGAAATAGTGCCTTTCGTTCCAAGCAAGTGGCCAGAGGGAGAGGAAAATGTCAAAAACAAAAGTATCATGTAGCATCTGCTCAGTAAGAAAGGATAGATTGGTCTTGCAAAAAAGTCAGTTCTAAAAGTTTGCCTTGTTGATATTTTAACAACTTTGAAAAATAAGAATTGGCACTAGTTCACATACTCTAGTACCAATTCTACATAAAACCCGTCAGGGAAACTCATGGAAACAAGATAATGGGTTTCAAAGAAATGGGATATAGTCTGTTTATCTTGATTAGTCCTTCTGTGTTTAGTCTTCACAGTGTTACAGAGTGGATATTAATAGAGAGTGAGAACAATTTGTGGGCCATTTTGTTCTGTGGTAGAGTTTAGCTAGAAAACACGGGTTTAAGGCATATCATCACATACTGCTATCTGTGAAAATGGAAAGCATACAGTGGTAAACACTGTTAGGGCCAGGGGCTCCTTTGGGAAATGTGGATGCAGAGGAATGTAAATTTCATACTTTATGCCCACAAATCATTTCACTATTAGTACTATTTAATACTGAAGACAGTAATCAAAGTCACAGAATTTATACAGAGCAAGAAGTTGGACTCAGACCTATTAAATACCTGCCCAGTTACCATGTTCTCATCTTTCTTTCCCTCTGAATACCTTCCCTCTGAATTCTGTGTATACAATTCCTACAAGTAAAATAAGTAGCTGGACAATCCACACTCCACGTTTTCAGTGCTGGAGTCATAAATTATTACAATTGTAAGTATTTTAAAAGGAGGATTGAGGTCTATAAAAAAAATTCAGTAGTCTGTCAAAGCTATGGATTAAAATGGTATAGGAAATGAACATTGAAAATAAACAAAAGAAAACAAAACAAAGATACACAGGAAACTGGAAATTTCTTTGGGGAAGATTGGGGAAAAAATGGAGGTAAGTGATAGCAAACACATGTATAGCTCACCCTGAGGTGGTTACCTGGCTGTATTAAGTTCTTTCCCAAAAATGTTCTCAGTCTCCTCCAGATGGCTTCTGTGCGTCTGAAAAGAAAAAAAAAAAAAAAAGCAGTAAAGCAAAGAGATAGCATTCATTACACATTGGGTTCTTCATACACATGGGCCACTGTCATAGGGAATGCCCTAAGATTAGAATCAGCGCGGTGATTTCCACGACCTATTCTACTTTCATAGACTATCTATCTTCTGGATTAAAGTAAAGAAAAAGAAAAATCATTGCTATGGTGGATGAAAAGGGGCCACATACTAAACCTGACAAGCCCAGGGGAGGCCTCTGTTGGTGGCCTTGCAAACTCAGAGACCTAAAATAACTACATACGATGGTCTGAAATGAAAACTTTTTCACTAAAAGCAGTTAATGGCAGGTAGTCATGTCCTAGGCTAGAATCTTCCCTGACAAAGGTCAATCTTTACCTTAACTGAGCCTGTCTGTCCTCTTTTGCATCTACGATAATATACTTTTAGAATGTCAGGGTAACTCTCCTTTTTCCAGATCCCTCAGGGCACAACCAGTGATCCGGAGCAGAGACTACAAATCCTCTCATTGTTATTTTTATCTTGTTAATTGTTGACTATTCACTATCCTGTACCCACCTATGTAAATGATGTATGTCTATCATTTTACTTCTATCCAATCCCAGAGGTCCCCCCCTTGCTTGTAATAGAACTGAAAAAGTCCTGTCACCTAGTTTACATTGTAGTGCAACACATTACCCAAATACTTACAATTCTGTTACCTACAGTATGCAGTACAATAACCTGTTGTACAGGTTTAGCCTAGGAGCTGTAAGAGAATAGATTTTGTCACCACAAAATATGTTTATTTCAAATAAGGATTATTGTAGGCTTGTTAATTTTAAGAAACATCAGACTTGGGAGATGATCTAAAATCAAGTAAAAGTTACTCTTTGTAAGAGACGTTTACATTTGTAAAAAATATCCATTTGTAAGGGTGTCTCCTTCTTTATACCAGGAAGAGGTTGATGACCTAATCTCCAGAAACTCTGATCAAAGCAAGAGACAAGTGACTTAAATCTGCATAACAACCTTACCCTTGTTTACTGTGCTTTTCCTGGTAACTTCTCATAACTGACTGCTTCACCCCCAACAACTTCTTTTGTCTGCTGTTGAAGATGATATTTAACCTGACAAGCTCAGGGAAGGCCTTTTTCTGGAGCCCCCAGGGCACAACCAATGCACCAGAGCGGAGACTACAAATCCAGTCCTTGTTATTGTTATTGAGTTAATTGGTGACTGTTAACTATCCTGTACTCACCTATGTAAAAGATGCAAGTGTCTGTCATTTTACTTTTATCCAATCCGAGTGGTTTCCCTGCTTTGGGATTCGGCTTTCTCATTTCTATTGCTCTTGAAGATAATTTTTCCATAACACTTTGTCATTCTGTGTTTCAGAAAGCTTAAATTTTAAATGCAAGTTTGAGTTGGTTAGAATATTGTGCCAAGACAATTAGTTTAGATCCTACGTGTGCTACTGGTCATGGAGTGACTTGAACAAAAGAGTGTTTGGGCTACATTCTCCAAACCAGTGTGAAAAATACCAAAGTAGTGTTACCTGAATATGAAGAAAACAATGCATGATCTGCTTCAGACTATTATGTCAGTTTGTGGAAGTCAGTGGAAAATATTCAAAGGAAGAAAGCAAGTAAGGTCCCTTTAATAGCCTATGTTTGAAGGGGAAACATTGAAAAGTTAATTAGTAATCTTTAATACTATACACCAGTAAGGTTTCACACAAACTTTGACTATCCCAAGGGGATGAATATGAGGCCAATAGGTGTAGTTGCCTGGCTACAGCTCCCCGAAGGAGAACTTTTCTTTTCTAGTTGTGTCCAGTAACCAGTATGTGTGGAGATGTCCTGACAATAGCAACACTCTTCTTTACTTACAGTTTTGAAAGTTATTCCACATCTATGACCTCATTTGATACAATAGTCCTAGGAAGCAAGGATTATTATATTCTCCCAATTTCATAAGTATATCAATGACTTCAAGTGATCTCAAAGCTAGTAAAAGCAGAGCTCAAATTTAAATCCATATAAGCTGATTCCAAGTTCATTGCTCTTTCCACAAACCCCCCCTTTCTCCATTTTAGGTACAGAGTCTCACAGCAGCCTTCAAGGGCTACCTATTCTTTCTTTTTCTACTTGTGGGTCCATGATCTCCTTCAATCATTTTTAGTTCTGCTGTCCATTCTGTTGTAGCTCAACATACCTAGAAATCAGAAATGTTAAAGTAGATTGTGAATGTTTTATAGGTTTAGTTGATAGCACTTCTTACGGAACTTTTTTTTTTTTTTTTACAAATTATAAATACTTTTTCTAAGAGAGAATATTGCCCAAGTAATAAAAACTATTACCAGCCCTAGCTGGTTTGGTTCAGCGGTTAGAGCGTCAGCCCATGGACCAGAGAGTCCCCTGTTCAGTTCCCGCTAAGGGCACGCACCTCGGTTGCAGTTTGTCCCCGGCCCCAGGTGGGGTTGTGTGGGTGGCGACCAGTCGATGTGTCTCTCTCACATCGATGTTTCTCTCTCTCTCTTCCTCCCTCTCTCTCTCCCGTTCTATCTGAAGATGAATGCAAAAATGTCCTTGGGTGAAGATAAAACACACACACACACACAAAACTTACCAATGTCTTATCTGAGGAGTAAATAGAGAATAGTCTTTGCGTGGTACTCACACTGACTTATTCAGATCCAACAACATACATCCTTCAAGTTGCTCTATTTTTTTAAGAAAAGATTTTTAAATATAGATTATTTAGAGAGAGAAGAAGGGAGAAAGAGAGAGAGAGAGAGAAACATTGAAGAGGTGGAAATATCAATCAGCTGCCTCCTGCACACCCTAGAGTTGGAAAGGAGGCTGCAACCTGGCCATGTGCCCCCAACTGGGAATTGAACCGCGGCAATCCTTTGGTACATGGGACGACACAAAACTAACTGAGTCACATTTATATTTTCTAAAATATAAGCCACACTTATATTTTCTAATGGAAGGGGATATTTTTATAATATAGAAAAATTATCTTAATGGCCATACTTTTCATGTCTTAGACCTTCCTACAGATCAAACTTAGTATCTAAACATATTGAGTCTAACTTATTTTTGAAATTATAAATTTTCTTTTAGATTAATATAATTTTGCTTCAACATAGTGAGAGGCAAAAGGAACTATCAGTAGTCCTGTCTACACAACAAAACATAGGACAGATTTTATAGATGCCTACCTAGCTTTCTTATCATGGTGGTGTCACCTTGGGCAATATTAATTACCCTTTGGGAGATAACAAGGCAAGCCCTATTTTGGGTTGCTGATGAAACTTTCTTTAAAAATTTAAGTAAAGCTCAGTTCCAAAATAATATATTGATCCTCCTAGTTCATGGTTATGTTTCACTAGGTGGAGATTCTGATGCTAGTATTCTATTTGGAAGGTTGACCAATTTCATAAACATCATCCATTCATCATCATATACAGATCTTCAAAGGAAGAATAATTTTAAATATACCTATGTTGCAGAATCATCTCATACTATGAGAATCAAATGTGGCTTTATTTATTTTTTGTTTACTGATTTTAGAGAAAGAGGAAGAGAGAAACATGAATTGGCTGCCTCCTGCATGCCCCCCACTGGGGAGGGATCAGGCCCATAACTTGGGCACGTGCCCTGACCAGGAATCAAACCAGCAACTTCTTGGTGCATGGGTCGACGTTCAACCACTGAGCCACACCAGCTAGGCTCAAATGTGGCTTTAAAGATCATCTAGATCAGAGGCCATCACATGATATCAATTGCCCATAACCACCAGATACCATCAATGAATAAAGCAGGTCATTTATAAGAGAACACATCCTTTCTATCAAAAAAAAAAAAAAAAAAGCCTACTGTTTCCATTCTCCCACCCCACCAAATTTTAAAAAAGAATATATGTAGCCCGCCCAGTGTGGCTCACTGGTTGAGCATCGACCCATGCACCAAGATGTCACGGGTTTGATTTCTGGTCAGGACACATTCCCAGGTTGTGGGCTCGATCCCCAGTAGGGGGCGTATAGGAGGTAGCCAATCAATGGATGTTTCTCTCTCATCATTTCTATCTCTCCCTGTGTATTACTCTATACCTAAAAATCAATAAAAACATATTTTAGAAACAGAATATATGTAGGTGTCGGTCTGTAATTTTTCTCAAATTTGAAAGAGACGGATTCAAGAAATATTTTGCTTTACTTTTAACTATACAAGCAAAGTAATATAACCTGAGTTTCGGGAGGTAAGTAATGACCATGCCAAAACAGAAAATAATACTCCATATAAAAGGTGCAGGCTCCTACTCAGCTCTAGCTGACTATTCACATGGAACTTCTCAAGAGAAGCCGGAAATCTGGACTTCTATGCAGAGCCTCTTAATTTTAAGTACAGGCAACTAAAAAACGTGTGGAAAAAAAATTGCAGGTCAAAAAGACATGTCTGGCTGAGGACTGGCTATAGCTTAGCTTGTAATCTTGATGTAACCCAACTTCCTACCTTGGGTATGATGGATAAAATCAGGCTCACTGAGTGTCCTGATATTTTCTAGAGGTCACTCAGTTGACAGAACAGGAATTACAACTTAGATGTATGCTTAACTACAACGGGAGATTCTAGTTTCCCTCAGAGAATTTCCTACATTTAGGTAAATGAAATATCCCATGAAGCATTAAATATTATTTAATGGCAGATTTAAAGCCATGTGGCTTTTGCCCTTAATAATATATCATTAAAAAGTATTTCCACACAACACATGCTACTCCACACCCAAGAAGTTATCAACAAAAAATATAAATTTTTTGCTCCATCCTGATAGTGTAGTTTCAAAAACATAATTTAAAAACATTATGCAACTTCTCTGTAGGTTTAAGTGTGTCATCTCTGCTTTAATATCTTGAATTTCAAGTCTTTTTTTGAAATATTCAATACAATTACCAAAGATACTAGGGAACATTAAACAGATTTTCTTATGTTACATTTTACTGTTTTGTTGAATTCACAAGTCTGTCATAAATTTAAAATAATCTAGTAGTATTAGTTGTTAATCAGCTCGAGTAGGAACTCATGTAGATGTTAATGCTTTGAATTTCTTAATACAATCTGATGATGAGTCAAAAATTTTGCCAAATAGCTTCATATTTCAATACTTCTTTTATTAAAGAATTATGCTTATTCAGGTGAAATTCCACTTGCACTTTATTTTTATAGTTTCTAAGTAGACATGCAGGGTGAATGCAAAGTCATTTAGAAAGAACTTCCTACTTAGCCAAATGCTAAACCTCAGGCACAACAAAGGCTCCCCAAACCAATATATAGCATGAATTACTTACAAGGTCAGACATAATACTAGCAAATATGCAAAATACAATTTTTAAAAGGAACATATAGCCCTGGCTGGTTTTCTCAGTGGTTAGAGCACTGGCCTAAGGACTGAAGCGTTGAGAGTTCGATTCTTGGTGAAAGACAGGTACCCGAGTTTCAGGTTCAATCCCAGGCCCTGGTTGGGGTCCTCTGGGAGGCAACCAATCAATGTGTCTCTCTCACATCGATTTCCCACCCTTCCACTCTATCTAAAAATCAATGGCAAAATATCCTCAGGAAGGAGGAAAGGAAGATGCACCAAAGAACACACAATTCAATTCATTAACATATATTTGCACTTTATTATAATTTTGCATCCTGAGATAATAAAATTTTATATCTGACAAGTGAACGATGACAGAAGCAGCAGAGAAAGTTTCAGAGAGGCAGGTATTCTTCATTTTGGCACAGCTGTATATAGTTGAGTTCTTGCAGGGGGTTACTCCAGAACTCAAAGGAGAAAAATGAATTCATTCCACAGGCTATGTAACAATACAAGATGCATGGAAGTTCTTGGTCTGAATGGACATAGCCACTTCTATTCTTTTCTAGCAAAGTTGTCCCAACAGAAATCCTCTGGCAAAAAAATAGAAATCCTAGGTTTTTCAAACAGATGTTTTGATCAATGCCTGCTTTGGCTACCAGGATTTCCTGTTTTTGCAGGGGAGACTCATATTTATATGTGGTTAGTCCAAGGATGGCAAACTAGCTTGTAGATTATATAATTTCAAACATTTATAACTTGTTTCAAAGTCCAGGCATTAAATCAATTTTATACTATTAGCTTACTAGAAAAGTAGAAAATTAAAAAAATTAAGCCAAGATAAATGCAAAGAAAATAAGCAGGAATAAAAGGAACTTGGAGAAATTATTGCCTTGACTCATCACATTGAGTTTATACACAGAACTACTTTGAGACTCAGAAACTGATATTTACTCTAATGCTAGAACATGACATTATAACACTTTCCACATTTGCAATCCTATGTGTGTATATGTATGCTTTATACATACACACCCAAATAATTAGCTCAGTTATATAATCCTGAAACAAAACAAAAAAACTTGAAGAGAAATTCTAACCCCAAAGTTATATAGTACAATCTAGCCAAAACATACCAACACACATAATCTAGCATTTTGTTACTTAGGGATTGGGTGAGCAACCTTTGCAGAGGGTCAAGTAATCTTAGTTCCTTTTATAAAAGTGGATCCCAACATTTCAGCA